GGGGAGATAGTTCAGCATTTTTTTCTCTTTTTCTGTGTTTTCGAAGTTGTCTTTTGGGCGTGGGAACTGAAAATGAAAAACAACCCGCGTTCGCCCAATAGCCCCACCCCCCCCCTCCCCCGAACTAAAAGCAAATACAAAACCAAAACCAAAACAAAGTGTAGAATTAAAACAACAACAACAACTGCAACAACATCAACAACAACAATAGCAACAACAACAACAACAAAAATGGTATAACGATTCTCCCGACACCCGATTTACTCAGGGGAGATAATATGTTATTTTTGTTGCTTTGAGCAAGCGTCCTTACTAAACTCGCCTAAAAAAGTCAAGGAACAACTTGTGTTTTCACCTGTCAAATTTGAACTTCAATATCTCGCAAACCCGTTAAGTTTACTTAACCAAACTTGGCACACGCACTGATAACTAGACACAGTTTGCCTGTACAGCAAATTTGCCCGCACCAGCTTCACAGCGACGGCGCAGGGCATTCTGAAACACAGCCGAAAAGCATGAAAAATGGGCTAAATTTCTCTGCTTCAGCAACATTGGCATAGGGACTGTTAGCTAAAACTAAGCTTGGCACGTGCTAAGCAGATGCCTTAGCTGTGAATATTGCTCACTTACAACCCTTTATAAGCCAGCGTTTTTCAGCGATGTTTCATTACAACACGATGGTCCAACCACGCTCGCTGCCTGACGTCGACAGAGGACGAGCCCTTGTCTGGCTCCAAGATGGCTCCACGTTCCGAGTCGTTGCACATCGACTTGCGGTGTTCCCATCAGTCATATAGAGGCTGCAAGAACGATGGTGACCAACCGAAAGGGTCCAGGACAGACCTCGATCAGGGCCACGCCGTTTGACCAACGACAGCATCAACCGGTTCATCGTAAGACAGGCCGTGACATCACGAACCACCACTACAAACCACATCAGGAACAACTACGGGTGACAGCAAATGTCCACGAGAGCGAGGTGATGGTAAGGAACCGTATCCGTAGAGCCAGGTTCGCTTCTGGAGTTCCGGCCAGGCGCCCAAGGCACACGCCGCTCCACAAAGCAGCTCGCCGGGTGTGATCTGCTCACCATTCACAGTGGACACGACGTCAGTGGTACCAGGTAGTCCTCTCGGCTTTCGGCACCCAGACAGGCGAGCCCACGTCTGGAGGCGCCGAGGAGAGCTGTTCCACCCTGAGTGTATCCTGCAGGTGGCGCCCTACGGTGGAGGCTCCGTTCTGGTGTAGGGAGGCTTCTCAGCTCACCACAAGACCCCCCTGTACCATATACTGGGCAATTTGACCGCGGCAAGTTACAGGGAGAAAATTATGCGTCCCCTTGTTGTTCCTCTCCTGCAGCAGATTAGACCCCAGGCTGTACTGCGGGACGACAACGCCACGCCACATTGCGCACGCATCGTGGGGGACTTCCTGCTGCAGCGAGCTGTCACCCGCATGGACTGACCAACTTGTAGTCCGGATTTGAACCCAATAGAGAACATTTGGGATCACATTGACCGGTGGATAAGGGACAACCACCCTCCTGCACAAAACCTTCAACAACTCTTGGGCTGCCTCGTCCAGGAGTGGCAAAACCTACCCCAACAAGTTCTCTGAAGGCATGTCCTGTCCATGCGTCGACGCTGTACTGAGTGTTTGGTCAAACGGGGTGGCTACACCCACTATTGACAATGTTCATGAAGAACTATGGCTGTTCAGACTTTTGAAATCCGACCAGTATGATTAAAACTCATTTTACATGAACTTCTCGTTGTTGTTGAAATCTGAAATTGTACACACTTAACCAAGAGAGTCGAAAGCATCTTTTTTGAAAAAATGAATAAATTTGGTAACAGTGTTCTTCAGTTATCTTTCTTTTAATTTTTGTTCCTTGACTTTTTTGTGCGAGTTTATGTCCCTGAAGCAGCTGTACGCATGTGGTGTTGTTATATTTTTGCTTTTTATGGTTGGCACAGAACTTGACATATCATTATTATGCTTCTCAAAGTATTTAAAAGCTTTCGTTTGAGGATATTATAGTAGTAGTTTGGAAACCAGAGAAACGTACTGGAATCTGAAAAGTGCGTACAAACAGACAGACATTTGTAGCCAAAGGGACAAGCTCCATAATGTAATTAGTGTAGTTCAGTTTACTGACAGTGATGATAGACGTCATCCTTTTCCATGTATTCTCCTCACTGCCTTACCCCGCCCACTGATTCGTTCCCAACAATTTTTTGAGTGTGGTTTTTGTGGGCTTTTTGCAGAAAATGAAACGCTAGTTTTCACAATGTAATACTGACTGAAGAAGATACCTGATAACAGTTTCATTAGAAAAGAGTAACCTTTAGGTCCACTTTGGCATGAGGATCAAGCACCTTATCTCTCTGTCCACTTAGACAAAGCATGTCCCTGTTTTGACATTTCCATAATCACATCAACTCCATAATCCTCTATTATGTTCGATAAAAGAGAAAAATATCCAAACAATAAAGGTCATTTAGGAGGAAATGCGAGACAGACAGACAGAAACAACTGATGGAAATGAAAGATACAGTGCCGACAAGTCACGCCCCCCAATTCCCGCAACTTATTTTTCTTTTCAGGCGAATACTTCGACGTCCGGGATTTTCACATGGTCGTTCTGGAAAATGGCGCTGTCCCGCTGCACATCCTTGAGGCCGAGGTGTTAGAGTGGATAGAGAACCACAACAAAGATCAAGAGTTCGATCCCGAAGACTGCGATTGTCCAACAGCCCCTAGAGGCAAGGCCAGATGCCATAGGTCAACCGCCACACGTAAAGCGTCCTTTTCCGATCCCAAGAACAACAACGCCGTTGTGTCTTTCCAGCCGTCAAAGCTCAACATATTTGGAATTTTATGTTTGGTTTTATCGTTTCTATTTCATTGGAATTCATAGTCTCTTCCGTTTGATAAGCATTATTATTAATGCTGTCTGCTGTTGTTTTCATTCGGTCCTTTATAGTGGGCATTACTTGAGACTGACTGAACGTTTTTTCGTTTTTCATAGTGGTAGTAGTTGTTGTTCAGATTACTGTTGTGTGAATGCAATGATCAGATCGTTTGTTGGTTTTACTCTCCCCAATGCCAGGGTATTATGCGGGATATTTGTGCTTTGTTTGGTTGGGTCTAAAAAAATAATCGTTATTATTTTTATTGGTCCTGCTGCATGTACGTTGTTGTTAGTGCCGATATAGTCATTCTTGTATTTACTATTTTTAATACACACGGTCAAAACTTTCATTGTTGATGTTGTTTTTGTTGCTGTTATTGTTAGTCTGCTTTAGTCTTTGAGGACTGACGTGTTCTTACGTCTCAAATTGTAACACATTTTGTGAGTTGTTGCTGCCATAGTTATTGTCGTTCCTGCTGTTACTGATATTCTTATTTGAAATCTTGACTTTACAACCCCAATAGATATTTATCTAAAATTTTCTTTATTTTTTTGGTGCAGCCGTTAGGCACATTGTCGTCGCGCAGGGAAGGCGTGACTTTGATTCTCGTGACGGAGGAATTTTTATCTAGCATTTGCATCTTTCTGCTAGAACGTTACCTCTCCCAACCTGAGTTGGCCCTTACAAGAGAGGTCGAAACAATTCTATGATTGCAATTACATACTTTTATTATTGTAATTCCAGGGCGAAGAGCTAGACCCCAGATGGCCGCTGGATCGGACAAGTAAAGTTAAAAAGTTGTATTTCTTGTTCTGTGGTTCTGTATCCTGTAAAGGCGTATTGCTATTACTGTTGTTAATGCTGATATATCCTGTCTCCCCACCCTCATGGTGCACCCCACGTTATTTTGTTATCGTACTAGTTTTGGAAATTTATTCTGCTATTTTTTTAAAATGTACATCCTAGAAAAAGTTATGGGTTTCATCATGGCACCCAATTACTCCCACCAATATCACATTATTATGCTGTGCAATAGATTCTTTGTTACAGAAAGTCTGAAGAATGATAAGAGAAAATGAAAGAGTAATAACTATGTTCTGTTCAGATTGTAAATATTGTATCCAAGTGCTTGTGTTAAATTATTTGCCTGTTTCTCTGAATGCATTGTATATAATAAATTGATGATAAGACGTACAGTTGGCTCCTTTTTGCTTTCTTTTTTATGCTGGGATTGGGGTGGGGGTAGGGGGGGGGGGCTCTTCTGGTATCACAAGGCGTATCTCTGAAGTGGTCGACCAAAAATCTTTTACTATATAGTGTATTGGATTTCTTTCCTTCCTCGGCCATCCAGATATCCATATACAGTTTTTGAAGGTCCTAATAATCTTCACATTCTCCAGATTCTTCAGATGTTTAGAGAGACTTTTGATTTGCGCCTTGTCACCCGGATATGACACGCTGATCTTTTTCGATTTTCTGTTGCTAAGGCAGCGGTACCGTGTAAGACGAGCATAGTAAGTTTCTGAGTTTTTATATTTTTTGCTGCCTACGGTAGCTGTACCCTGGTAATGAGCATAGGAGGAGGTTTTTGAGTTTTTCTGCTTTATCTAAGACTAACAAGAACTCGATCCTAGAATAAGGGTTTGAACTGAAAATGAGAAAGCCTTACATTTCCCAACGAACCTGTTTGCCTGGAGCATGGAACAAAATGTTACAGTGGCCTAAAAATGATCCAGTTGAATTTGTCAACGGACCCACGATTGTAAATGTATATGGCGAAAACGTTTAATGTAAGAAAGTCGGTGTGCTCGTATATCACTGGTACAGTTTGTTTGTTTTTGTGGGGCTGGCGAATATAAAAGATGAGCTGGGTGTCTGCAGAATTCAAAGATAGCAACAGGCTCTCACCGAGCTGACATTACTGACAAGCTTATTCGTGAAGACATGTCGCAGTCAATTTAAGAGACTAACATTTCTGAGACATTCGAAATCATTATCATCATCACCAATGCCTTTTACCCATGGAAAGTTATAGGCCACATACAAGCTCCTTCCGTTCTTCTCTGTCCTGTGTCACCCTTCCTAGCTCGTTCCAAGTAAGCTTAATCTCTCTCATGTCCTTTTCAACACATTTCCTCCATGTTTCCCGTGGCCTACCCTGCCTCGTGCTCCCTGTGGCTTCCACTGAAGCGACTGTCTTTTGATGCTTATTTCTGATCAGCTGGGATTTCGTAGAATATCGGCTTAGTGGGTCTTTAAAAAAACTGCCCGAAGAGCTCACAATTCAGCACAAGTAATCGCCTAACATTCGTTCAAACTGCAGCGAAGGTGGTACGTCGTTTCGGAATCCAAAAATATTTCAAGCGAGCTAATGGCAACATGAGTTCGATGTGATTTTGTAGATTAGAACTGTGTTCGTCATGCTAGTTCAGACACAAATTGGGACTCCGTGACAAGAAAGCACCCAGCCCTATTGTCAGCCAACAAGTATACATTTCACCAACCAGCTAAGAATATTTGTGACCCCTGTGATTTTGGACGCCAAATACGATCCACAGCGCAGACTGTTAATGCAAAATACTACTGTGAAATAATAGACAAGCCCAAGAAGACTGTTCGTTGAAACCGATAATAAAGATAACAGTCTGGGACAAAAACAAGGCAACTGTACTCCACACAAAGCGAACTTGACTGAAGACCGGATCCATGGACATCGAAAAACGTGGAAGGTATTGCCGCTTACTCCACATAGGCTAGCCGGCCTGACCTTGCTCCATTCAAGTTTCATCGTTTTGAGCCTTTAAAACGTCAGCTAACAAGAACAGCCTTTCAGTAGTTTTAGAATTATGATTTCATTGCATTCGTCTGATCTGGTGGTAGAGCAGCACCACTACTACTGGATCTTGCATTTTAACTATCCCTCTGTTGTTTCCGTCTGTCTTATTTTCCCCCAAAACTTAATAGCCATTACTGTATCGATGTGCTTCTCTCTACACAACAAAACAAACAGACAAACAAGCAAACGTCCGAGACTGTCTCCAGTTTTTTAAAGAAGTAGATACATTATCTAATGCGACGCTTGAAACAATTCGTCTACTGTCGTCATGATGTCAGTATTTAGAAGTCTACAACATACAGTACATAGTTTGTCCTGACCCATGTCAAATAGAGTATATTTTTTTAAAGCGGCCACGTCCCTCTTACTCGTACTTTTCGGACAGACTTTAGATAAAAAATACAAAACAAATACAGAATATCCGTTTTTACCAACACCACAGAAGAAGAGGAAGTGGAGATTTTGGCTCAATTTGTGTCAACCTTTACTCTGCCAGAATTGGTGTCATCGGCAACAGCAGAAGCCACAAGTCTATTATTATTATTATTATTATTATTATTATTATTATTATTATTATGATGATGATGATGATGATGATGATGATGATGATGATGATGATGATGATGATGATGATGATGATTATTATTATCTATATTATAATTATTATTATTATTATTGTTGTTGTTGTTGTTATTATTATTATTATTATTACTATTATTATTATTATGATTATTATTATTATCCTTATTATTATACTATTTAAAAAAAATCATTACATCACCAAGAGATCGTTGTTTTGTTTTCAGGGGAGGTTTGAATCCTTTTAATTGTTGTTTTGTTTTCAGGGGAGGTTTGAATCCTTTTAAAGATAGACCATGTGGTACGTTTAGAGAAATAAACAGTAAATAAAGGGTGAACTAAAGATAGATAGATAGATAGATAGATAGATAGATAGATAGATAGATAGATAGATAGATAGATAGATAGATAGATAGATAGATAGATAGATAGATAGATAGATAGATAGATAGATAGATAGATAGATAGCAAGAATGAAAAAAAAACAAAGACCAAACTGCGTAAAGAATTCCACACATGTGCAATTTAAACTCCTGTGTGTTATTTTGCCCTACAGAAGGGTTAACTAGTGTTGTTGTCCAGGGACTTTATATACCACAACTGTTGAATTACAAAATTCCACCTATTCAGTACCTTGTTCTGAGAGATTTGACGTAAAAATACTGAGCTTCACATTTTTTCAAGCTTTTTCAAATGCAATTTTTGGAATATTTTGATAACGGCTCCGAAAAATCTTACGATTTTGATAGAGCAGATAATTTTGTTTTCTGACCTCATGGTCTTAGTTACTCAAAACGGCCCAATATGTCAGTATTGGCCGGCTGTTGAAGAACGCCAGGGGTGATATGCGTCACGACACGGTTGAATCAGACGGTCGTCAATGTTTCGGTATATACCGCTATTGGTGTCATCTTAAACCCTGATCATTTGTTTTGCTTTTTAATGAAAAAGTACCCATCTATGTTGAGTTGTAGGCAAGATATTTGCCAGTGAAGGCGGTGCGGTCGCAGTGTTTCAAAGGTAAGAATAGCCCATAAATGGCTGCCAAGGTTTGCTGAGCTTCAAAGCTTGTAAACTGTAAATCAACATTTTTTTATTGTTGCCTTTAGTCCACGTTTTCCCGTAAAACCCACACAGAAATGAGTTTTTAAATGGACATTAAATGTGTTAGGGTCAAAAAAGAATATTCCCTCAAAATTGCCTAACCACCGGAAAATTGCTGGGTTTTTGTTGTTGTTGTTGGTATTTCATTAGTTTGATGAAGGCCTTATTTCGTCACATTGCCACACATGTGTCAGTTATCTTTGCTAACCCGTTATCGTGTTTGCTCTGACATTACTATTGTTCTTGAACTAACTTCATTCGTCTAACTGAATGTAGTAAACTTGTAAGGAAACACTCGTTAAAAAAAAACCCTCAAACAAATGAAAGACAAACAAATCTGACTATTTGTACAACTTTGTCTTTTTACGTTGTAACATAATTATTGTAATGATAACCACTTCTTTTAATGCTTGACCTTTTAGCTTCATTAAAAACAATATGAAAAGACAAACAAAAAAAATTAATAAACCCATCAAAACTTGACCTCCCAAGGAAACTAAGTAATTATTTTCAAAGGGGTGGGGGGGATGGATGCAAACATTATTTATCAAACAGAGACGTTAGAAATGACCTGTTCTTGATTTCAGTCAGGGGTCACTCGTACCAGAGTCCGGCAAGACATCAACAGAGCAATCGGCGTACGGCTGTCTGTCTGAAGTCTGGATTAAAAAGGGTATGTCTGCATACAGTACATCCTTCCGCCATGTTGACATTCGCAGTCGTGGTATGTCTGTCTGTCAATGACAGCGCTGAGGGTGTTAAAAAAACACAAACAGGGTGAAGATAAGTCTTGCTATATATTGAGCATTGTCGACCACGGTTGAACAGCGGGGTTTAGATTCTGTTGCTTTTTTTCACTTCTACGTCTTCCATGTTCGTTGTCTTTGCTGTTGTATTTGTTGTATTTGCTGTTGCTGTTGTTGTTGTTTTGTGACGTTGTTGTTGTTGTTGTTGCTGTTGTTGTTATTTTTTATGCCACAGTCGTTGTTGTTGTCATTATTGTCATTCTTGGCCGTGGTGGTGTGTATTGTTACTAAATTTTGACTGAGTCAAAAAAGTGGACGGTGAATAATATATCTGCTACTACTGCTGCTGCTATTACTACAAGTACTACTACGACTTTAAAAAATTACTACTACTACTACTACTACTACTACTACTACTACTACTACTACTACTACTATAACTACTACTACTACTGCTGCTAATTGCTATTGTGTTATTACGACTATCACTAGGAGTTTCAGAAGAACACAATCATCAATATTAAAAAGACAGTAGTTACCTGAAATTTCTTTCGCCCACCCTCCTGCAGATTCCTCTAGCATCCCGACACTCTGTTGCAACTGTGGTCACGTGGTAGCGCCAAGAGTTTGTGCCGAGTTGGCGCTTACTGCATCTGGGAAAGACAGAAGAACAAAGTTATTGAAAGGGGGATGGGGAGGGGGGTGGGCTAGTGATGTTTGAATTCTATCTATGGAAGAAGGAATGATTATTGAAGCGTATGGATGTTTGTGTTTGTTTGAGTGTGTCACACACACACACACACATATACACACACGCACACACACTTAGCGACAGCTGATTATTAATCGTCAAGTTAACATGGTAAAAGAAAGGGTTATCACATCATTTTGAAGATAGTAGACAAGGAAAACCTCGGGAGAAATAACTGCTTGCATGTTTACACCAGATACAGACATTAATAAGTTAATTATTTAGTTGCATGGGCCTTGGTCCGGCTGAAATGTACGTATGCCAGCCCCACTCCAATCCCCTTCTCCCCCAAAAATAAAAAAAGGAGAAGAAACAAACAAACAAATAAACAGACAAACAATAAATACAAAAACAAAACCAACAACAACAAAACAAGAAAAAAAAACGACGAATCAACAAAACAAACAAAACAATGGAACAAGACAAAAAAAAGCAACAACTAAACTATGACTATGTGTATTAACATCTCAGCATTTTCAGTAGGATTCACGAATAAGAAATAAGAGAGAAGCCCGCACGCTGCGCACATCCACAAGAGGAAGTGCAGCTTTTGAATGCTCAAAATGTAGCAAACTCTTTTCTGCCAGAATTGGTCTCATCGACCACTGCAGAAGCCTCTAACCCTTCTTACTTTACCATTTCGCTAGAGAAGTTTTTCTCCTCTGCAAACGTGTTGGTTGTCATCAGATATTAATGAACGAACAATTATTTTCAGAAGACCATGATATCTGGGGTTTTCCGTTTCAACAAAAGTCCAGATGCCTTATGCCAAGACAGTCTTCCGTAGCCAACGTGGGAGATTGAAGACAGCTTCAACATTACCCAGTTGTACTCCAGTGTACAAATGAAAACATAAATTTGAATGCTTCATTGAGCACACGTATTCTCCAGAGATTTTGGTCTCTCTGACTTTTCTATACAAGATGTTGGTGAATGTGGTTGTACAGAAAAGCTATTAGATTCCGAAGTGGAGAAGTACTTCTTATGAAGAATCTCTAGCTGTCTTTCCCAAGGGTTGCTGTGTCCTATTTAACCAGACAATAGATATTTGCCAAAAGGCAATTTTCACTTTTCCACCCCTCCAAAACAAAACAAAAAAAGAAACGGAAAACTGACCCCACCTCCCCCCCCCAAAAAAAAAACCCAATCAAAAAGCAACAATAACCCAGTTTAATTACCTCATAGTCCGACAGTCCATTTGAAAGTCTTGGTTGAGAGGGTGGCACTGCCCGTCCAAGTGGCAGCCATCTTCCTCCTCGTGGGGTCTGCCGTACCAGCAGATGACCTTCCAGCAGGGGTTCTGATGGGTCAGCGAAACCACCTGACCGTGCCTGACCAGTCGGTTACCGATCCAGCATGACCCGTCAGCGTCGTACTGGTTTGGCCTTTGATTTGGAAAATGGAAGAATAATCGTGTTTGAGGTTTTTACTTTGTGTCTTTTTTTACTTTGTTTGTGTGTTTGTTTCTTCTTCTTCTTCTTCTTCTTCTTCTTCTTCTTCTTCTTCTTCTTCTTCTT